AAGTGAAACATGTTCACGTTTAGTAGATAAGTACAACTCGGTAGTGTTTTCTTTGAAACATTCAAACCACAATGAAAAAAAAAAAATCCCGCGTTTGAAAAACAAAATGGCGGTTGAACAGGTAAGAGATGCCAACGGATTTCTTTTTTAGGATCCAAATAATTTTTGGAGAGTTGATCTGAATTCATCCGAGGCTAATTTAATTGTTTTATTGCATTTCGGTTGCATTGAAGCAGATGCGAGTTCATTTTAAGCCCGGACTTGCGGTCCGAGTTGAGTTAAAGACGAGTGAAAGATAACGCGCGCAAACTATGGACTACTTAAATTTACAAGCCCAGTTTTAGCTATTCCGTAGTAGTGTAGGTGGGATCGCGCGCAGTGAATATTGATGCAGAGGTCATGAGTTCGAGCCCGACCTGAAACTTCTTGCACTTCTTCTTCTTCTTTCTCTTTAAAAGTAAAAAAAAAACCTAGAAGAAGAACAAAAAAATTCCTAAGGAAAAAAATTCTAGAATCAGAGAAAAAAACTCGAGAAAAAACAAAAAAAAAACCTAGAAGAAGAAAAAAATCTAGAAACCAAGAAAAACCTAGAAAAAACCGAAAAGAAAAATCCTAGAAGAACAAAAAAAACTCGAGAACGAAAAAAACAAAAAAAATTGAAGCAGAAAAAAAACAAGAAGAAAAAACCCTAGAAAAAAATTAGAAGGAAAAAGAAACCTAGAACAAGAAAAAAACCTTAGAAGAAGAAGAAAAAAACCGGTTTCAAAATGGGCTTGAAAAAAATTTTGATTTTTTAAAAATCTAGTTCAAAACCTGTTTTAAAAACTAATTTAACCTGTTTCCAAACCTGCTTTGATATCTGCTTTTAAACAACTGGTTTCAAACTGGTTCAAACCGGATCTCCACCAATCACAGATCGTGGTGTGTCACGTGGTTTGCTCTATATAAGTCGACGTCAAGCGCTGCAAACTTCAAATCGTCGAGGTTTTCAAAGATAGAGATGGACAACGAATTCTACAACTTTGAAGACGGTGAGGATGAAATTTTAAACAGAGTAATGGATAGATGGGAGCAGATGGGAGGTAGTGCGGTCAGTGGCCCTTTATTCAAGTTTAAAATGGTACCTGTTGGTAAAAGAAGAACATGGCGCAATGTGGTGCAACGAGAAAATTTTAACGCTCAATTAATGCAATTGCGCGAAGCAGTAGCAGGGGACAACATCGGCTTAGCCTTGACGGAAGCCCTGCATGATGCAATAGCAAATGAACTGCAAAGACAAAACAGACCAAATCATCATTGGGTAAACATTGCAATCACAGCAAATGGATTTCAACACGCCTATCAAACGGTTAATTTTACTGTCGGTGAGTTTTTTAACAGGACCGCTCGCCTTGATGAAATGCTCCAAAAATTGGCGGCAAAACTCAATTCAAACGAGTCTTTTCACCCTAGTGAGGGTTTTCAAGTGGATGTGGTACTTGTGCGAATGCCAGGTCAAGGGAAAGGTCATGGAAAAAAACACAATGCAGGACAAAGGTGTATGGACAGAGAAAACAAAAAGAAAAAAAGTATCATCACGATACATAACGATGACAATCTCTGTTGCGCACGTGCCATAGTAACAATGCGTGCGCATTGTCACAAAAACGATGGTGTGGACGGGCACAGAAATTGGGAGAATTTAAAGCGTGGCTTGCCTGTGCAAGAGAAACTGGCAAAAGAACTGCATCAACAAGCCGGAGTTCCCGAAGGTCCGTGTGGCCTAGAAGAGCTCCAAAAATTTCAAGCAGCATTGGGCTCAGATTATCAATTATGCGTTATGACACGCATGAAACCCTTCTTTCTCATCTTCAAGGGACCTCCTGCACCCGATAAAATAATTCTGTTAAAGTCTGATGAACATTTTGACGGCTGCACGTCGATCCCCGCGTTTACAAACAAGTCGTATTACTGTCTTCAGTGTGAAAAGGGTTTCAATACGGACGATAAGGCCCACCATCCCTGTAAAGCAAGAAGGTGCACGGCTTGTAGCCGATTTGACTGCCAGGACTATGTTCCAGGCACGCAGCCTGAGGATCACTGCACTCAATGCAACAGTAAGTTTTTTGGTCAACATTGTAAGCAGCACCATTTTACAACCAACCAGTGTCAAACCCACAAAACCTGCCTTCATTGTCAAGCTCAGTACATGGTGGTAAAAGGAAAAAGGCACCGCTGCGGCTACGCCAAATGTCCTGTTTGCACAAAGTACGTATTTATTCAAGACCACAAATGTTACATTCAGCCCGTCGTGGAGGAGGGGGAAGGTTGCATGGTGGCGCCACCCCCTCCGCTTTTCATCTATGCTGATTTTGAGGCCATGACAAATGCAGAGGGCATATTTATCCCTAATTTGCTCTGTTATTCATCGAGCGATGAAGAAGAAATACATGTCTTGCAAGGTGCAGATTGTACTCTAAACTTTCTGCTTGATTTAGATGATCTGACCGAGGTGCCGGACAGCAACCAAAAGCGTCAAATAATTGTGGTATTCCACAATTTAAAGGGGTTCGACGGAATGTTTCTAATAAGCGAACTCTACGGACAACAACGTGAAGCTATCAATCAATTGACTGTCGGCGCCAAAGTGCTGTCCTTTACAAGCGGTCCGCTCAAATTTATTGACAGTTTATGTTTTTTACCAATGCCACTAGCATCTTTTCCATCTACATTTAATCTAACGGAATTGAAGAAGGGATTCTTCCCCCATCTTTTCAACATCCCGGATAACCAACAGTACGTGGGCAGAATACCCGATTTGCAGTTTTATGATCCGGATGGAATGATGTCTTCCAAGAAAGAAGAACTGCTCCAATGGCATGCCGAACAGGTCCATAGAAACGTTGTTTTTGATTTTAACAAAGAAATGATCGAGTACTGCAAGTCTGATGTCGCCCTGTTAAAAGCAGGCTGCCAAAAGTTTCAAGAAGAATTTGAAAGCCAAGCCGGCTTCAATCCGATGACGAAGTGCTTTACAATTGCAGGCGCATGTAACATGTATTGGAGAAAAAATCATTTAAAAGAAAACACCATCGCGGTTGAACCAGTACGTGGGTGGCGTGGTGCAAATATAAATAGTTCTCTGAAAGCCTTGCAATGGTTGTATTGGAATGAACACAACATTGCCAAACAGGGCGCAAGTGCCGACCGAATACGCCACGTTCGCAATGGCGGCGAACAGTCCATCCACACCTCCAACAAAAGGTACTTCGTAGACGGATACGACCCAATTACAAAGACATGTTACGAGTTCAACGGATGCCTGTTTCATGGATGTCTCACCTGTTACCCAAACAGAGACATAAAACATTATGTCACCCCTGACAGAACCGTTGAGGAGTTGTATCAAGCAACACTGACCAAACGTATAGCACTGCTCAAAGCAGGATACAGAGTTAATGAAATATGGGAATGTCAGTGGGACCAACTGGTGAAGACAGATCAGGCAGTCAATCGTTTTCTGAGTTCCTTCGATCTCGTCCCACCCCTTCAACCACGCGACGCCTTTTTTGGAGGGCGGACTGGAGCCGTTGCTCTACATGCGGTGGCAGGTGAGGGGGAGGAGATACGCTATGTCGATATCACCTCCCTCTACCCCTGGGTGAACAAAAATTGTCAATATCCCATAGGTCATCCGCAAATAATAACTCAGCCAAGAGATCAGTCTATCAGATCGTATTTTGGTCTGGCCACCGTGGACATTCTTCCTCCCGCTGGCTTGTATCATCCAGTATTACCTTTGTGCTGTGGTGGAAAGCTTACCTTTGCTCTCTGCCGGTCCTGTGTGGAAGAGGAGCAAGCAAAACCTTTGTTGCAAAGGACGCACTACTGCGTTCACTCAGACGCCGATCGGATGCTACGGGGTACATGGTGTACCCCTGAGCTCATTAAAGCCATAGAGAAAGGCTACACCCTGGTCAAGATCCATGAAGTCTGGAATTTCTTACCTCAGCAATGACAAACTGGCCTCTTCAGAGACTATGTCGATACATGGTTAAAAATGAAGCAGGAATCGTCAGGGTGGCCAAGTTGGTGCGAGACCTTGGAGCAAAAGAGGGAGTACATTCTCCGTTACCAGGAGTGTGAGGGGATACGATTAGACATCAGCAAGATTGCCAAAAACCCCGGCAGAAAAGCCACAGCCAAGCTCATGCTTAATTGGTACTTGTTTCATGTTGCATTTTTTTTTTCATGCTGTCATGCCACCCCTTCTCATTCTTATTTCTTTTTATTTCTTGCAGCCTTTGGGGAAAATTTGGCGAACGTCAAAACAAAGCCACCACAGTAACAGTCAAAGAACCCTCTCATTTGTTCACCTTACTATCTGATACTACCAAAGAGATAAGCACCCTTAGATTGTGTACTGACGACGTGTTGGAGGCCGTCTATACTTCCGTGCAAGAAAATGCGGCTAAGGGGAAAAAAACAAACATATTTGTCGCAGCGTTCACAACTTCCTACGCACGTCTAAAGTTATATGACTCTCTCGACTTACTACAAAAGCAAGTCTTATACTATGACACGGACAGTGTGATATACAAATGGGCACCTGGTCAACCTTCCATCCCCACAGGAGATTTTTTAGGCCAAATGAAAGACGAGTTAGACGGCGATGTGATAACGGAATTTTGTTCCGCAGGAGCCAAGAATTACGCTTATAAGACACACGCTGGAAAGGGAGAGTGTAAAGTCAAAGGATTTACCCTCAATGTCCGCGGATCAGCTGTGATCAACTTTGAAACGATGAAAACAAACATTTTGGCCGAATTACAAAATCCATTGCAATACCGCCGCACCACTGATGTACTAACACCGTATTTTTTTCATCGAGATGTTGAAAACAAAAAAATTCGGGTTGTTCCACGTGTCAAAAAATATAGTCTAGTTTTTGATAAGCGAGTACTAAATACCAATGCATTAAGTTATCCTTACGGTTATAGAAGAATTGGGGAGGAAGTAGAACTCTTATTAGATTTGTAATTTCATTTATGTCAAGGGCGTGACGTCACCAGGTCGTCACACACGTCCCGGGTGTAACTTAAGCATGACAAGGAAATTGTATTAAATCAAGTGATTTTTATTGGCAATACAGTGTGTTCTTTCTTGACTTCCGATCGCGCTGTACATGCCACTAGTTCATGTTACTTTATGCGCATGCGTTGTTGGACATTCTCACAAAAGCAGTACCACATGCGTGAGCGCACAACATCCACTGCAAATATAAAGGTCAAGTAATGCCTCCTAGGTTATAAGACATTGCCCCTAGCCGATGTTACTTTATGCGCATGCGTTGTTGGAAATTCTCACAAAGGGGGTACCACAAGGGTGAGCGTACAACATCCACTGTAAATATAAAGGTCAAGTAATCCCTTCCAGGTTATAAGACATTGCCCTAGCGAATGCTACTTCATGCGCATGCGTTGTTGGAAATCACCCTAAAGGCGTACCACAAGAGTGAGCGCACTACAACCAACACAAATATAAGGCCATTTATTCCATTGTGCAATAAAGCAGTTGAGAGGTACCATTTCTTGACTTCCGGTCGCGCGGTCATTTCCGGGGTCTGGGGAGCAGTTCATTGTTGACTTCCGGTTGCGCGGCCATTTCCGGGGGTCTGGGGAGTAACTTCCGGGGGTCTGGGGAGCAGTTTGAGAACACTGCTCTCTGATTGGCTACTACCTATGACAGTTACAAAGGTCACGTGACCGTTTGACGTCAAAAATATGCAAATGAGGTCACGTGACCCCTATTCCCCAATACCTCTATTGACTTTCTCGCGCTCTGATTGGCTACTACCTATATGAGCCACCATTACTACTAGCCTTAAAAAAATGCGAGTTTATTTAACATATGTTAAGGGACTTGCCCCGCCCCTTCTCTGTAATAGGTTAATGAAAATGGGCGATGTGCAATCTCGTAATATTGGAAACAGAAACATAGTTAGACATGCCTTCCTTTCGATTCACTGCTGGTCAGCGGCCATGAGCAGTCCGCCTTATTTCCTTATTTCATTTTTTTCCCCAATAAATTTCACATATTGTAAATTAGATAATTATGCTTTTAATTATCAAACTGCAATTGTAAAATTGACCGAAAAGCCATTTTATGGGGTCGGCTGATAAACTATTACTATTACTTAATATTTCATTTCAATAGGATTGCTAAATAACGGTTTTCTCCTTTCAATTTAAAATGATAATAATAATAAGATCGGAACACAAAGGCAGTCAAAATAACAAAGGTTGGTCAGATATGATTATGAAAATACACCGTGCAACCACAAGTACACATTTTAAAGACCTGTAATGTTCACGTAAAGGTGGGTAACCCACCTGTTCATATAATCTCTCATTTTAATTTGATCAAGTTTGCATGATAGGTGGGGGTAACCGTATGAGAGATTGTAAAGACAGGCGGGTTACTCTACCTAAGCGGCTCATCTCACCTACCTGGGGATCCCCACCTCCATGTAAACAGGCCCTAAGCGTCTACCTTCCTTCGCAAAACGGCTATCCAAATTAAAGAAATTTCCACAGTTATTCTGAATCGTACTGAAGAGGGAAAAACGTTCGACGAGAGTGTCACTACATCTAACTGCGATGCGACGTGACATAATGGGAATTGATATAAACTAAGTTTTGCGGAATTGCGAACCGGTCAGTGACTGGTACATGTAAGAATTGTTTGCGTCTCACTTCACCAACTTATTCTTGGCTCGATGAATAAACAGTCATGAAATTGGATTAGTCTGGTGATTTCTCAGTTAAAAAACTTCGACATTTTGGTGACTAAGTTTTTTGCAAATAATTTTTAATGTCGTTGCAAATAAGGATGACCGTAGTACATAACATTTTATATTTATTAGTATAAATACATTAAATTTTTCAGTCATTTTAACTCGTATTTGTCCTCAGACCGAATTAAAAGCCCCGCCCCAAGTGGCTGAGTTCATAAAGTCCATTGGACGATATCCCTACTGAATACTGATAAGTTTTGAAGGAGGTCTCACATTACTGAAAAGCATGTTAAACTTGCAAAGTTCCTGATCTGAATTTATGATTTTTATGACGTTCTCGCTCCTGTGGTGGCTCTCTATTGTAAAAGCTCCTAATGTAAAAAAAAAAAAAATAAATAAATAAAAAAAAAATAAAAAAGGTGACTTGCGTACGGTACGAATGCTTAACTAATCGAAGTCGCATTATTTTTTATTCGTTTGGCGTTTTTGGTAAAAGGTCGTAAAGCAAATTGGACCAGAATTAATAAACAAGGGTAAAGGGAAGGAAGAGCGAAATAAAATACACAGTAAGGGAAAGGAAAGCGGATGTAGCAAACTGAATTTCTTTCAAAGGTTACTGTGAATGAATAAAAATAAAATCGATAACGATATTAACAAACGATAAAAAGATACTAACTAGTAAATTTAAATTTAGGAGAACATTCTCTGAGGATCTATTTCCGAACTTTTCGTTAGACAACAGCTGGGTCTCGAAGGTTAAAGTTGACCGCATTCGCAGTTAATCGGCAAAATCAGAAAAATCAATTCTCCGGATTGAAAGTAAGTATAGTGAACATATCGTGAATGATGAAATGGTTCGCTCGTGATATCAATGTGATGATTTTTCGATTCCCCGCCTTAACCTGACGGAAACAAGTTCAAAGTTTTCCTCTTCTATTGAGAACCTTATGGAGTCACAAATATTCCATAAATTGAACAATTATTGAATGAGGCTGAGTATGATGTGAAGAATTATGCAGATCGAGGAGGAGCATGCCGTCGATTGGGTGCTGCCTACATCGACCTCCAAATATGGTAACCATGTGCCGGTTGTGGGAATTTAGCAACGGGACAGACAATCAGAAACGATAAAATATTGAATAAATAATATTGAGAAGAAGCAAGATTTCAAGCTTGTGGCCCTTTTCAATCTCACTCCCGTGCTTCTATTTAAACTATTTTGGTGAGTAAGGGTCTAACGACAAAGTGATTTATACTGGAACATCGTTTGGATTTCATTTAAGAGAATGTATGGGAAGTAGCTTCCCCCCCCGTCGCCACTGGGTTGGACCTTTCAAGTATGTTGCACCCCAGTACTATTAGCCTTGTGCAACGGATTTATTACTTTGATTTCTTACAGTGAAGCTTCTTTACCTCTCGTGAAAAATGGACGAAGAACCGGCCTTTGGTGATGCTCTTGATTTTATATTGGCCACTGATCTGAGTCCATCCGATCAGTTTATGGCAGCTATAATGTGGTCTTTGTATGAAACATTTCAGTTCTTCTTCTGTTTTCTTGCTCAAGTCGCGACTAAAACTCATACTCTTGTAGTTTTCTATGGAGTACTAAACTCTATAATGATATGCTATCTTGGATGCAGCAGTGTTTCTTGGTGTTGCGAATAGGAAACTAATTGTAAGTTTATTTTATGATGTGGGTATTGTTTAGTTTTTATGTCTTCTCCGCAACACCACGAAACTACTATAATCTTAAGGCTCCAGTCACATGCAGTGATGTCTATATGAATTAGGCCGTTAATCGCCAATAAAATCCAGCTAGTGTGAGAAGTTAAAATAGTTGTTAAAGGCGGTTTTAGTCACGTAGGTACAAAACGATTATAGGCACAATCTAACCGGGACGTAACGGATGATCCTTACAAACTAGAAGTTGCTAAGGAAACTGCTTCGATATACAAGCATTCGCTTAGAAATCTCAATAAGGAAACTTAAGTTTCCATTCGCTTGTATGTGTTTCAATGCGCCTTGACTTGTGTCGTCCCGGTCATGAACGTTACACGTTTATGTGAATGCTATGCGCGGTGTGATTAGTCATTGCCCATGATCTTTTAGAGTATAGATACATGGATGCTGTCACGGGAAACTTGTTTCCTTTGTTTTGCTGAACAAAGCGTGCGGTTCTAAAAATGTTTGTTAGATACGTACTTTGGAGTAAGCAAGTGAAAGCCCCCCCCCCCCAAAAAAAAAAGACAAAGAAAAATTCGAATGAGCTATATACAAGACGAAGAAATGGAGAAACGCAGACAACAAGAGTTCTTGACAACTTATCGGAATGCCTTTAAAACTGCAAGAAATCTTCACAACAGTCTTCAATAGTGTGTCGCCGCTTACGAGAGACTCGTAGTTTGCGATTATTTTGCTCGTGGAGCAAGTGGGCGCCTTAAAAAACATTTCGAAGTAACTGAAAACAAGTAAGATATAGAGGAGGGAAGAACCAGACAAAAAGTACCATTTGGAACTCAAAACATATGTGTATGTCATCCGGTGACACATTCGCCTGCGGCTCGTGTGCCACTTCTTTGTTTTTTACCAAATTTTGGAATCAAAATGCTTCGTCCGTGATCTATTACTGAACAGACGCACGGCAACATGGAATCTATTTTTTTAAATACCTGCGTCGTAATAGGCAAGCAAAAGGGAAAACGACCAAATAAGGGTCAACTTTGCAACAAATGAAGGGCGTGCATATGGCAACGCTCACGGAGATCAAGCGCCCTACACAGTGGCACCCAGCGGGAATATAGTTCAAAACAACTTAAACATAGTATTGTTAAACGTAATTTAGTATTTAAACGGTAGATATAGGTATATTTTTATCCCTTAAAATTTTTTTATCTGTTCGGATTTCCTAGCTGAAAGTCTAGCGATCCTAAATTATAGAGATCAAAACTTACCTTTTCGAAAATTTCACCCAGAAAAAAGGCTCCCGAAAATTCTTCCCCTTAATGAGATGCATTTGCCTACTCAACAACACTTATATCATGTCGACAGTATTGGACAACCCTCACATTTCAAGCAAGGTTTTATTGTCTAAGAAAAAGTCACTTGAGCTTACAAATACTGCTGTGTTTTTACTCCGTGATTCAGTAATGATAACATAGAACGTTACTCTAAGCAATGCATAGGGAGGTAGATACAAAAGGTGGAACAAAATGTTTAACCCTGGATTAGCGTTAATCGGGTTTTC